GAGGCCCAGCGCAGCAAAGCACACCTGATCGAGGTCGATCTTTCCGACCTAAAGGCTCCTGAGGACGAGGGCATGACTGAGTACGCAGCAACAGAGGGAGGTGACGGAGAGCAGAAGTCAGTCCTGGGCTTTTTCATCAAGGTGAGACTCTCCCATGATTCAACAGTTTTTAAATCATTATTTCAGATATGGCTTTTCTCACAGTATTTTCCCCCATGTAGCAAAAGTAAATGAAGTATTAAAATTGTAATTAATTTCAATTGGTATGCTGCCCCTGCTTTAGCACTGCAACCCCTATGAGGGGCCCAACCCCCCACTTAGGTAACCACTGTTCTGAATACAACCCAAATGGAAGTTGAAGTAGTGCTGATAATCCATTCTTCTGTTTACCGTGATGAAGGATGAGCAAAAGGCCGAAGACGAGCTGGTGAAGAAGAGAGCAGCGTTCCTGCAGAAGCAGCAGAAGAAAGCCGAAGAGGCTCGGCTCCGTAAACAACAACTAAAAGCAGAATCTGAGCTGAAACGAGATGAAGCACGGTAAAGCAGTTCACACACACGACTAATGTGAAGGTTTTACACAGGATTGAGTGGTTTAAAACTAGGGAGTGTCACTGACAGACGGAAGGCTGAGGAGGAGCGGCAGCGGAAAGAGGACGAAAAGACACGGAGGGAGCTGATAAAGCAGGAGTACCTGCGGAGGAAGCAGCAGGAGATGTTGGAGGAGCACGGCCTGGTAAAGCCCAAGACTCCCAAACCCAAGCAGAAACACAGACCAAAGACTGTGTTGAGAGAGGAATCCTCCAGTGACAACTTTTCCAAAGGCTCTTCCACACGTGAGATTGTTCACTGTTTGTTTTTATTTTTCATGTTACTTTTAAAATGTGAGAGAAAACCTACAGTTATACCACTGAACACATTTGTTTTTAGTTGTTCTTTGTATTTGTTTTTAGCTTAGCATTACCTTTACACCGTGGAATATCACAGTTGTGCCATAAGGTGTCAAATACACACTGAATCACACTCAAAACTCTGTCGTGTTCCTCTTAGCTGATAACCTGAGCACAGCCCAATCTGGCTCCAGTCTCTCTCTGGCCTCTGCAACAAATGAGGCCGACAGCGTCAACTCTGGAGGAGCTGGCTCCCAATGGTAACATCACTTTCTCAACTGTGTTGCCATACTTGAATATTATATGTATATGTATATATATATACATACACACACACATTTTTCTGTATATATATTTATTTATATATATAAATATATATTTATATATATAAATAAATATATATACAGAAAAATGTGTGTGTGTATGTATATATATATACATATACATATAATATTCAAGTATGGCAACACAGTTGAGAAAGTGATGTTACCATTGGGAGCCAGCTCCTCCAGAGTTGACGCTGTCGGCCTCATTTGTTGCAGAGGCCAGAGAGAGACTGGAGCCAGATTGGGCTGTGCTCAGGTTATCAGCTAAGAGGAACACGACAGAGTTTTGAGTGTGATTCAGTGTGTATTTGACACCTTATGGCACAACTGTGATATTCCACGGTGTAAAGGTAATGCTAAGCTAAAAACAAATACAAAGAACAACTAAAAACAAATGTGTTCAGTGGTATAACTGTAGGTTTTCTCTCACATTTTAAAAGTAACATGAAAAATAAAAACAAACAGTGAACAATCTCACGTGTGGAAGAGCCTTTGGAAAAGTTGTCACTGGAGGATTCCTCTCTCAACACAGTCTTTGGTCTGTGTTTCTGCTTGGGTTTGGGAGTCTTGGGCTTTACCAGGCCGTGCTCCTCCAACATCTCCTGCTGCTTCCTCCGCAGGTACTCCTGCTTTATCAGCTCCCTCCGTGTCTTTTCGTCCTCTTTCCGCTGCCGCTCCTCCTCAGCCTTCCGTCTGTCAGTGACACTCCCTAGTTTTAAACCACTCAATCCTGTGTAAAACCTTCACATTAGTCGTGTGTGTGAACTGCTTTACCGTGCTTCATCTCGTTTCAGCTCAGATTCTGCTTTTAGTTGTTGTTTACGGAGCCGAGCCTCTTCGGCTTTCTTCTGCTGCTTCTGCAGGAACGCTGCTCTCTTCTTCACCAGCTCGTCTTCGGCCTTTTGCTCATCCTTCATCACGGTAAACAGAAGAATGGATTATCAGCACTACTTCAACTTCCATTTGGGTTGTATTCAGAACAGTGGTTACCTAAGTGGGGGGTTGGGCCCCTCATAGGGGTTGCAGTGCTAAAGCAGGGGCAGCATACCAATTGAAATTAATTACAATTTTAATACTTCATTTACTTTTGCTACATGGGGGAAAATACTGTGAGAAAAGCCATATCTGAAATAATGATTTAAAAACTGTTGAATCATGGGAGAGTCTCACCTTGATGAAAAAGCCCAGGACTGACTTCTGCTCTCCGTCACCTCCCTCTGTTGCTGCGTACTCAGTCATGCCCTCGTCCTCAGGAGCCTTTAGGTCGGAAAGATCGACCTCGATCAGGTGGGCTTTGCTGCGCTGGGCCTCCTCTGAGGGATTATTTTCTTTCCCTGAAACGTTGTAAGAATTGGGGACCGACTCTTTCATGGTGCTCGACAGGCAGTCGTCGAATGAAACTTCGGGGGTCACCAACGGCGCCAGGTCCACTCTGGTCGGCAGACGCACGTTAGCTTCATTCTGAAGGCGGAAGGTAGCGCTCCGATAGTGGCCTGAGCCTGGTTTACCGACAGCGTTTTCTATGGTGGGGTTCCTGGGGCTCTCTGGCTGCTCAAATCTGGGGGACCTGCCCCCAGCTAAATGCCTCTGATGTAGCGCAGACTCAGGTCCGCTCTGGTTGGGGGTTAGTATCCTGGAAGCGTGTCGGCTTTGTCCTTTAGCTATTTTCAACTCTGATGGTTTGGACCTGGTGCTTCGGCCTGAGGTCAGCTTGGGGGGTTTCTTGATCGGGGCTGTGTCAGTGCCACTCAAGTGCTCTACATAATGAAAGCTCCCGCCTGACTTTGAGTCACAATTCTTGTCACCAGTGCGAGGAGATGTTGTTGCCCCGGACGGAGACTGAACATTCTGTTTAATCAACAAATCCTGCTGCAGCGACAGCTGCATCATCTGCTGCTGAATGCTGCTGATGGCGTTGTTCAGTAGCAACTCCTCCTCCAAATAAAAACTACCACCGTTTCCTTTTTTCTCTGCTTCTAAGGCAGACAGTGCGGACTCCACCACCACTTCTTTGTCCGCCTTTATGGCATCAACACATATATCATCTTTGCTAAGTTTTTCTCCGTTCAGCTTTTCTTTAGGGGGGTCAGCTTTAATTGGGTTGGGTAGTGTATCACTCCTGCCTCCACCTTTCTTTACAATGTGCAGAAAAGCTGCCTTTCCCAGCATCTGCCTCTGCCTGGCTGACAGGACTTCCATCTTTTTCTTATGATGCTCGATGGCTTGTCGTTTCTCCTCCAGCTGCATACGTAACTGGACCAGTTCAGATGCCAGCACATTGGAACTGTCTCCTGACCGAGCAGGAGAAGAAGGACTCTGGTCCCTTCTCAGCCTCCAGGAAGAGCTGAGTGGCCCGCTGCTCTCCGATCCATCTGGTCCGATCCACAGGGTGTTTTTTTCCATTCAGAGAATTAATTCAGTGTATAATTCGAGAGAATGCTTCGTTTTCTCCTCTGAAGATTGGGGGGAAAAAAATAAAAATAAAAAATTCAGACGGAGCTCCAGTGTCATCCAGGGACAATGTGAATGTTAAGGGTAAAACAATAATCTGGCTGCTCAAATCTGGGGGACCTGCCCCCAGCTAAATGCCTCTGATGTAGCGCAGACTCAGGTCCGCTCTGGTTGGGGGTTAGTATCCTGGAAGCGTGTCGGCTTTGTCCTTTAGCTATTTTCAACTCTGATGGTTTGGACCTGGTGCTTCGGCCTGAGGTCAGCTTGGGGGGTTTCTTGATCGGGGCTGTGTCAGTGCCACTCAAGTGCTCTACATAATGAAAGCTCCCGCCTGACTTTGAGTCACAATTCTTGTCACCAGTGCGAGGAGATGTTGTTGCCCCGGACGGAGACTGAACATTCTGTTTAATCAACAAATCCTGCTG